TGCAATGGAAGGCTGAGAGACTCAAGGGGAATACAAAGTTAGTCTATAGCTTTGGTCCCAAGCTTTTTACTGACTATCCTAGGCCTCCGGTCCCCTACTATCTTACTGACGACTCTTATTGGGGTGGACTGGTGGACTTAGCCAAGAGATACATATCGCCCGCAGAGATCGACTACGAGGCAGTGACTGAGCCCTCTGAGTTTCCACATCTCAGGAGAGGCATTTTCTCTTAGCCCTACCTTCCCACTTTTTGAGAGGAATTTTGTGTTATGGTTGACTTCCGCATCATGGGACTTGGCTGGAAGTGTTTGGAACTAGCAGGCTTCAAGTGGCTTTACATTCAGAAGCCACAGACTCAGAGAGTACGAAGGCATGGCAAAAAGCCCAAACGACAGACAGCGAAGTGACAGACGGAGACTGAAGTTCAGAGGGATGAGTGAGGACTCTTAATTGGTGCTGGCTATGCTCTCTTCCATATGTACTCCCTGAGACTATTATGAGTTCTCATTCTTCCCTCATTCATTTGACTCTGTCTTTTCTCGAGTCAGTCGGTCTTGCCCCTTGCTTTGTTCTTACATGATGATTGCTTTCATGGATGATTCTGTCACAGTTCTCAAAATCAGATTGACACAATTGATGCATGTTTAGCATTCCACAATTTTATGATTATTATCTGCATGATTCTCTGCTGTTCCGAATCAAAATAAAAGATTCCTAACAGTGGGGACCGGCGAAGGGTCTCGCTCGAAGCCGGACACACACAAAACAGGAAGGGATTTGCTTTAATTAATTTATTTTATTTATTGCAATCACCTACAAAACCCTGCGTGACAGTCTGTTGGTTTTCCGGTCGCCTCAAGCGATCCGACTGGGAAAAGTGCGACAGCGCGGCCTTCACTTCCTGCTGCGGCTTCTTTTTTCCCCTCGTTTTCGTCGAAAAACGGCCTGAAAACAGCCAAAAATCCGCCTGTCGGGTTTTGCTGGTTTCCCAGCTGTACGAGGTGGTGGGTGGGAGCGGGGAACGTTCCCGCTCCGATACCAGTGTGGCGGACCCACCAGGTGTGGTGCCCCGTCAGGGATAGAGATGGAGATGGAGGAAGAAGGGGAGCGAGATGGCACAGCGCAACTCCCACGCCAGACTCCAATGCATGCACTCCAAACTGTGCGAATGCAGAATGAATCCGGGCCGATGGCATTCGCGACGCCGACACAAAGGCTGACAAGTGTGGACGGTTTGTCCCGAGTGTCCAAACTGTGGGGAGCCCTGTGCGTTCCAAACCAAAACAAAACCTCGACAACTGGGACATGGCCCCCGGGGTTCCCTTGGCTGCGCTTCCGCACCTGGTGCGGTCTATCAGTTTTGTTTTTCTTTTTTCTTTTGTTGCACTCTCCGTCGCTATTGGCTGCTGCCTCAGCCTTCCATGGCTAGAGGAAAGACCCCC